CTCTGGATCAGGTATAATTACTCCCTTCACTTTTGGTTCAGATCTGGTTCGGTTCTGGTTCAAGTAGGATCCTTGAATCTTGATTCTAAAATTAGGGAATGYGATTCCYARTTGAAAGGYAGGTAGAAAATTTTTGAAATTCGCCCACCCATTCCGCAACTGTTTTGGCGTCCATACGATGGATTCTACCATGCCTTTCAATATGTCCATGTTTGTACACTAGCAATGGTCTATTAACTTTTAAAATAAACAAAACAAAGACCTTTTATATAACTAAAGTCTTAGTTCCCACAAATAAGATCTCAAATGGAAAATTTTCCACGAAGAATCAATAACAATACAACTAATATCTGATCCCTAGTCCTAAAATAGAATGAATTGCAATTAAAATCATGAAACCAAACCCTTTACATATATGGGCCAAAAATTTAGGTTAGGAGCGCTTCCCCAAACCCCTACATGGACTTGTTTGGGCTTGCCTCAGGGGGTCTTTTGGAGGCTGTGAATTTTTGAGTGTTTGAAGTACTTTGGTACAGTCCATATATGTTTGCTTTCAATTCTACAGTTCACTTTGAATATGTTTTAGTTGTCATGCTCATGTATTTTTGTTTGATTTAATAAGGTTTTTAAAACATTTGAATTCTTTTAAAATTCAGGTTTGCATATTTTATGTAGCCTCACTTTGCACCTTGAGTGCTAGAAGACCCTGCACTTTCAAACCATGCTTCTTGAATATGTGTAAAATGCAGTTGTGGTCATTAGTTTCACCATAATCCTACATAAAGACCATGGACCTTCTACTCTTGCCTGTCACTGTAAATGACCCATTGTAAATTGTGGATTCTATAATAAATATCATCATTTTCTATTTTACGAATTTTAATTACCATGTATTTTGAGAATTCACCATCTGTCTATCTTTAAATTACTTAGCAGTATGTTCCTTAGCTGTGGAAACAACACACTATTTCGTAACAATCTAACCTCTTTGTTTATTCTTCTGATAAAAAAAAAAAAGCAGTCACAGCATGACGGATCTGATGTGCAAATGGAACTCAATGTGGAGCACCATCATGATGCAGATATAGTTCCAAATATGACAAGGGCCCCTCGGGTTAAGTATATAACCTATTATGAAGATTCTGAAAGTATACCTGGAAAGAGGACAGCAGTTTGGGAGGTTGATAAAGGTACAATATCAAGTCCATATAGATTAACTGATGCATGGTAATCTCTGAGTACCTTTATCTGAGAGGAAGAAGCAAAATATTAAACTGTAAGCTTGGATGAATTTGAAAATCTTAAAGTCCAAAGGGGTGAATTTGCTTAATCATAGTTTAGGATTTAGGCAATAAATAGCAATAGTAGTCCTTGTAGTAATTGCCATCTTGCCCTATGAAAACAAGCCTCAGGCTCTCTAATTTTGTAACTCCTATGAACACATAATGTAAATAGAATAATGGTCTGAATGTAACCATAACCATTGTCTAAAACAATAGAATATAATAAAACAAATATCTAGGACCATATATATATATATATATATATCCTTTTTTCTGAATGATTTTCCCCAAAAAATGTATATCTCCAAGCCTTGAAGAAAGATCTTTGTTTGATGAAAAGTTTTCTTTTCTATTTATAATAGAAATTAATTGGTTGTACCTAATTACCTAATACCTATATATATATATACTGCAATACAATAATATATATATATGTATACTATATATATATATATAATATACTGCAATACAATAATATATATATATGTATACTATATATATATATATAATATACTGCAATACAATAATATAAACAACTCGCTATGCACTTAATTTCTGGGTCATTTTCAGTTTATTGTGGAGTGCCTTGTTCATCACTAGGTTGTAGAGGTAATGCCAAGGGGTGGTTTAAATTATAAAACCTGGTGTGTTCAAAAGACCTAGGTTGTCCCAAAGAGAACATCACAGAATGCAAGAATTACAAGGTATTTTAGTGTGACACTCAATTCCAAAGAGTCTATGCACAGATGTACCATGATAGAGTACATCTGCAGCCCCTCTCCCCCAAAATATGTTTCACAACCCACTTCTAACTAAGGCCATGGATATAGGATTAAATTTCCAACTAGAAAATCATGGCGAAACAGGTCGTATCCTTGGTAAGAATGAATATCAGCCAACTATGGCTTGGAGGCTGTGTTAGGAAGAGTATGAAATCTGGGCAGATACTGATCATAAATGGAAACTGGCACTAATTCCATGGACCTGGTCTAGAAGACAATCCTAGGTTGTTTCAAAGAAAGAATTGCAGAATACAAAAATGGCCGGTGTCTAAGTTACAATTGCAATAACACCCTGATGTAGGACCAGCTCAGTTCTAGTCCTTAGAGAATGTTGAATGGTCTTCTTGATCAGAGTTTTATGGCCATTAATGGCTGTAATGGCTTCTTAAAGGAATAAGAGAGAAAATAGGGAGAGAAAGAAGAGAGAAAATACCTGGAATCACTCACAGGGTGCCTAGAATCACTATAGGGCATGGGAATCATTCACCATAGCTTGCATAAGCTGAAGAAAACTCGATATAATTCATTGCCTTTGTGTAAAACGTCCATACATATTTATAGATTCTATACTCATAATAATCCTAGGAGTCAAACTATTAGACTCAATAATCCTAGTAGGACTCAAACCAAGTTGTCATATCCTATTTCAATTAAAAGAAGACTCAATAACTCTAATCCTACTTATGCAATAACTCTGAAATTTTAAGCATAAGCAAACTATAACTATACAATTTAAACCCTATCATTGGACCCCACAGAAAATTGTAAAAATGATAAAAATACCCCTACTGTCCAAAAATACAGAAATACATAAAATATCATAAAATTCCAATTTTGACTCTTTAGCTCCCGCATCATTCTCCCCCGGTTGAAAAAAAACTCACCCTTGAATTTCGAAGAACTTGAGGATGAAAAGTTGATATGCCCTAATTATAAAGGGAGTAGGACTTCCCACAGCTACATGCTTGGACTGTAGAGTAGAGGCCACACACAAAAGTAGAAAAGGATCTTGAAAGAAATGTATTTCTGAAACACTGCCTTCCCTAACCATCTTTGTTAAATCATCGATAACATTAGTTTTTTGAACACTTAATTCATCAACCAACCATTTGATGAATCTTCCCCTTGCTTATCCAAACTCTTAAAATTGCAACATTTGGAACCTTTCCTTCAACCTCTAGCTTAGGAATCACCATCTCTATGTGTTCGGCTATCCTTGGTTCTTCAACAAACTCTAGGATTCCTTCGTTGAGGTTGGTGGAACTTGTGCTATGTCAGGTTGTAATTCTTGAATTAGATGTAGTTGAACTTGAAAGATAAAGTCACTTACTTCCTTACCAGGATTTACTACGATCAACACATTTGTATCTTGCACCTGAATTTCTATAACTTGCTCCACTTCTATTTCTTCTTGATCATTAACCTCAAGCTGACCATGGGTGTTGGAAACTCCAGCAATTTCTATTTTTTCTTGGCCTGCACCCTCTTGATTTTTAATATCTACAACTTCTATAGCTTGAAATTCTTCTTTAGGTTCATCCTCAATTTCAGCTCTAGGATAGACATTAACATGTAAGGAATCATCTACCTTCTTTTCAACTTTATACCTTCTTCCCCTTGACTTCAAGTTCTTTGTTGTAACCTGTTGTTTCTTCTTTTGCTTGAAATTAGTCAACTCCATATATAGATCATCATGGAAGTCTAGTGAGATGTACTTTTCTTGCAAACACCTCTTCATCTCTGCCCATGTACTAATTGGATCATCGACTTTATTTTCTAATCGTTGCTCAAGATTTCTCCACCATACTTTAGTATGACCCGTCAGCTTCATGCGTGCAAATCTAATCCTTTGTTAAGCATATCATGCTAATCAAAATGTTCTTCTAGTTCAGCAACCCAATCAAAGAATGCTTGCGGATCATCATCTCCTTTGAAATCTGGTATTTCTCTTTCTCTTCTAACATGTTTGAAAACCTTGCTCCCGTAGCCAACATTGTTAGATCTGTTTCCTTCCACCATCTTCTCAAATAAGTCAACCAAAGACCCTCCATATGGTTCAGAAACCCAATAATCATCGATTCTAGACCTATAAGATTGTCTAGAAGATACTCTAGGCCTATAGAATCAGTTACTTTGTGAGAACATAGTGAACAAAACATTAGCTCTGATACCAAACTGATGTAGGACCAGCTCAGTTCTAGTCCTTAGAGAATGTTGAATGGTCTTCTTGATCAGAGTTTTATGGCTGTTAATGGTTGTAATGGCTTCTTAAAGGAATAAGAGAGAAAATAGGGAGAGAAAGAAGAGAGAAAATACCTGGAATCACTCACAGAGTGCCTGGAATCACTCACAGAGTGCCTAGAATCACTCTAGGGCATGGGAATCACTCACCATAGCTAGCATAAGCTGAAGAAAACTCAATATAATTCATTGCCTTTGTGTAAAACGTCCATGCATATGTATAGACTCTAAATTCATAATAATCCTAGGAGTCAAACTGTTAGACTCAATAATCCTAGTAGGACTCAAACTAAGTTGTCATATCCTATTCAATTCAAAGAAGACTCAATAACTCTAATCCTACTTATGCAATAACTCTGAAATTTTAAACATAGGCAAACTATAACTATACAATTTAAACCCTATCATTAGACCCCACAGAAAATTGTAAAAATGATAAAAATACCCCTACTGTGCAAAAATACAGAAATACATAAAATATCATAAAATTCCAATTTTGACTCATCAGCTCCCGCATCACACCCTTAAGAGGGTCAGAAAAGAAAAGGACAAATGAATAACAGTATACAGACAACATATTTAATACACTGCTTTCCTCAAACCAAGGTTGGAATTTAGTAGTGAAGGAAACCCTGGTTTTATTTGAAGATATCTCTATAGTGGCCTTGCTGAATAATTGGAGGGAAGTGGCAAATTGAACCCCTAATAAAGCTATATTTTTTCCCATTTGGACTCCACCAGATTGTGGATTCACTAAGTTTAACTTTGATTGTAGTAGCTAAGGAAACACCGGCCCTTCCGGTATTGGAGGAGTTTTCAGAAATAAGGAAGGAAAAGCTATTGCTTTGCTTTCAAGCCTAATTGGTGTAGGAGACTCACTTCAAGCCAAGATACTGGCTGTTTTGGAAGGTGCAAAAAGGGCAAAGGAGATGAATATTAGCAGGTTGATTATTGAAGGTGATTCAAAATTGGTAATAGGCTGGTTAGAGGAGGATGATGGGATGTGGGGCTACATTAATGAAAGAAGGAAATTTAAGTGGCTGACCCAGGGTATGGAAGTGAGATTGCAGTTGGTTAAAAACTTAAAAGAAGTGCTAATTCCTTTGCAGATGCACTTGCCAAAAACAAAAGGGGTAGGAGGGGATGAAATGTTTTGGGCTATGTTGTAATCCCATTTCTCTATGTGGGGAGAGTTTAGACAGTTTACCTCTCCTTTCACCTTTCTGTACTTTTATCTTCTTTCTTAATTCTAATAAAATGCTTCTGTTATTGCTAAACAAGGGTTGGAATTGTTAGTCCTTGATGCGTCTTTCTGTCAACTGCACGAGACTTTTTTCTCTGCATTGACTTAATCTGTATCCTAGACTCTAGAGTCAGTGCTTGTTTGAGGAAAGCTTTCTTGATTGGAAGTAATAAGCCTAAACATAAAATGTATGATTCTGATGAAATTAGAAGTTAATTTTGAAATATTAAATAAGCATATTGAGAAGCAGTGAAGTTGTTTGGAAAACAATCTTTTTAACCAAAAACTGGGGGGTTACTATAACTTCATATGGAAATGCAATGAAAAACCTTTGTTACTCTTCTGAAGTTGTAAGAAGGACCTTTTATATTTGTTATCTTGCCTTTTGATGGAACTTCTTTCAAGTCCATGGCTAAATAAGTTTTGGTGAGCTACAAGTTGTCATTTTGTTTAGTTAAGAATGAAAATAAGGCAAAATAATAATTATGAGAACTTTTAGGAGTTAAAAGGATGAATTATGCATTTCTGTTGGTCATCCATGTGCAAACCTTCTTAGTCAGTAGGTATCAAATTTTCCATCAATCTACCATTTCCTTGAGAATGAAAATAAAATAATACAATAATCATGAGAGTTTTTGCAATTTGATGCAAAAATAATCAATAATCTTAAAGATAACATTTAAGAGAGCTTCATTGTCTAGTAGACAGTTTACTGCATTGGAATTTGCAATTCCATGCTTGATTCATGTAAACTTAACGAGACATCATAAGGTCCCTTTTTTTATCATTTACTACTGAGCCTTTAAAGGAAAGGAAAAATGTTAAGTATGGAACTAGGGCTGAGGACCCCCAAAATGAACCTAGGGATCCTTTTGTGTGACTTCATGTCCTCTATTCAGTTAATTGAGACATACAACTGAATTGATACCACCCATAGAGGTTAGCTAACTAGAAATCAGGTTAAAAACCTTGTTGCATCCATGCCATTTTAAACATTTGGATGATGGCTAAAAGTCTATTACAAGCTCTGAGGGTGGTCTGAGAATGGTAATTGAATTAGATGGTTGAAGGTGTTCTGTTGGGTGGGATCCATTCAGTAGCATATCACATCTCCTGCAGTCCCACAAGTAAACCACTCCCTAAAAATCATATCTTCTTTCCCCTCTTGATCAAAACCTCTTCTGATCAAGAAGTATGAAATTTAATTTGGATCCAATTCATATACAGGTATGGACTTTTTTTATACTTCCCTTTATAGAATAAAGAATCCCCCCAAGTGAGGGTTGCAATGCTTACACTGACAGCAGGGCAAACAATCATTTAACTTTTTTGGTGCAGCAGTCTTATCCCATTTTTTGGTTTGGACTGTTGGTTGGGTTTTGGGGTGGTTGGAAAGAGACCAGATTTAGTCCTCACAAAATTTTTCCTCAAACCATCCTCACAACACTTACAAACATCTCCATACTTACATTTTTTTGTTCATGGGAAGATGCTTCCAATGCAGGGCTGTAAGTATTGTGAGGACAAATTTTGTGAGGATTGAATCCGGATTCAGTTGGAAAGGCTTAACAAGTTAGTTTCACAAACAACCTCCATTTAAATGCTTATAGTTCTATCACACATGAGTCTAAGCTTCCTAACCTGTCCTGGATGCTTGGTGTTGCTTAATCCATTCGTTCATGTCCTAGAAGGAAACTCTCAGCTTCCTTTTCTTTGTTTGATTTTTCACACATATATGCAGGCATCTCATGGTAAATTGGCAATGTCTTGCAGCAAACCATAGGAATATTGTTCGGTCTCCAGTTTTAATGCGAGAGCTGTGGCTTGAGATGTGGCATGATATTCATCCTGATGGTAAATCAAAATTTGTAAGAAAAGGTAAGTAATTGGCTTCTTGTGTTCATTTTCTTTCATATGAAATCATTCCACATAATCATCCTTGAACAGATAAGAGAGGACCCTTAAGGAATGAAGACTGTTATTGGGATTATGGGAAAGCTCGATGTGCCTGGCCTGAGCACTGTGAATACAGGTTGCTTTATCTTCCATTTTTTTCATTAAAATTAAGCACAAGGAAATTATCTTCATAAGGTATGTGGTGTCCCAGGTATGTTTTTGGTGATGTTCACCTTGGACAGAGCTGCAGGTTAAGGAATTCTTCAGCTGACCAGCTCTTACGTTATCTGTAGATTATAAGGTACCATTTTTCTGTTTTCTTCTTCCAAATTCTTCCTTTGTAGTAACCAGTGGCTTCTCATACTGCACCAGAACAATAAATTGACAATTTAATATCAGCTTAAATAAAGTCATTTTATGTCAAGAATGGAGTAGAAGTTACCTCAAGGAGGAACCTATTAAAGCTAGAGGGACCATGATGCCTCTGCATGAAAGATGACTTTAGGGTAACCATCTCCATAGAATGGTTATTTCTTCAAGTACTCTCTGGAAGGTCAAATACTTGCCTTTTCTTCTGTGCTTTTAGGAGAGAATCCCAAAGGGGGCATCATCAAGAAATGCAATAACATCTCCAGCACCTTCATTTGTGTATCGGGGCTTTGTTGACTGAACCTTGAGCAGTCATTTTTCTTGTGTACTGGCTGGAAGGTCAACGTACTTTCCTTTTTCTTCTGTATTTTTTGGAAGAGGAAGTCCCAAAGAGGGCATTTAGAGATGTATAGCATCTCCATTTGATATTGTAATTGTTAGAATGTTAGAGTGATGTTCGGCTGATAAGAGTTCTTATTAGCCCATTCTTATGTTTAACTTATCTTGTAACTGGGCTTATGTTAATGGGCCTAATCCTGTTTAATGATTTAAGTCATCTGGGTGTCCCATCACTAATCAGGGGCATCCCAGTAATTTCTTGTACCTTGTACTATATTCATCTATAAATAA